TAAAACAAAAAAGAGGGACTAAAAAATGTAGTCACAGATCTTTCCTATGGAGAGGAAGACAAGGTGATATAAAGAAATAAAAGACTGATTTAAACTAAGAAAAATAGGGGTAAATATTAAGGTAACCACAAAGGAAACAATCCTATACGTGAAAATAAAAAAAAAGAAAAACATAAAGACTCAGCAAATACAAAATCAACAACGAAAAAGATGAAAAGAAAATACATGAAGAAAAATGACTCAGCACAGAAAATTAAGTGGAACAAAGGAACTGTGAACAACACACAAAAAAAGACATCAAAATGACAGCACTAAACTCGTACCTATCAATAATTACGCTGAACGTAAACGGACTAAATGCACCAACAAAAAGACAGAGAGCAGCAGACTGGATAAAAAAAACATGACCGGTCTCTATGCTTCCTACAAGAGACACATGTTAGACTTAAAGACACAAACAAACTAAAATGCAAAGGATGGAAAAAAATATATCAAGCAAACAACACTCAAAGAAGAGCAGGAGTGGCAATATTAATCTCTGACAAAACAGACTTTAAAGTAAAATCCACCAAAAAGAAGGAAGGACTCTATATAACGATTAAAGGGTCAATACACAGGAGGACATAACCATAATAAATATTTATGCACCCAATGACAGGACTCCAAAAATACACAAAACAAACTCTTAACAGCATAGAAAAGAGAGATAGATAACTCCACAATAAAAGACACGGAAGATCTAAATGCTAAAATCAACCAACTTGATCTCATAGACATATATCAAACACTCCACCCAACAGCAGCCAAGTATACCTTCTTTAACAAAGCACATGGAACATTCTCCAGAGTAGACCACACATTAGGCCATAAAGTAAGCCTTAACAGAATCCAAAGCATCGAAATACTACAAAGCATCTTTTCTGACCATAAAGCTGTAAAAGGAGAAATCAATAACAGAAAAAGCAAGGAAAAAAATAAACAAATATATAGAAACTGAACAACACCTTGTTCAAAAACTACTGGGTTATAGAAGAAATCAAGGATGGAATAAAGAAATTCACAGAATCAAATGGGAATGAAAACACATCCTACCAGAACCTTTGGGACACAGCAAAAGCAGTGCTCAGAGGTCTGTTTATAGCATTAAATGCACACATCCAAAAAGAAGAAGAAGGGCCAAAATCAAAACATTAACTCTACAACTCAAACAAGTAGAAAGAGAGCAGCAAAAGAAGCCCCCGGATGCCAGAAGAAAGGAAATAATAAGAATCAGAGGAGAATTAAATGAAAGAGAACAGAAAAACAGTTGAAAGAGTTAACAGGACCAACAGCTGGTTCATTGAAAAGATCAAAAAAAATGATAAACTACTGGCCAAACTGACAAAAGAAAACAGGAGAGGAAGCAAATAACCTGAATAAGAAATCAGATGGGTGATACAACAACAGACTAAACAGAAACTAAAAGAATCATAACAGAATACTATGAAAAACTGTACTCTAACAAATTTGAAGACCTACAGGAAATGGACAAATTCCTAGAAACTCACTATCTCAACACAGATAAGGGCATTTATAGAAAGCCAACAGCCAACATCATCCTAAATGGAGACAGTCTGAAAGCATTCCCCTTGAGAACAGGAACCAGACAAGGATGCCCTTTATCACCACTCTTATTCAACATCGTGCTGGAGGTCCTAGCCAGAGCAATTAGGCTAGAAAAAGAAATAAAGGGCATCCAAATTGGTAAGGAAGAAGTCAAAGTATCTCTGTTTGCAGATGATATGATCTTATACACAGAAAACACCAAAGAATCCACAAGAAAACTACTGGAACTAACACAAGATTTCAGCAAAATATCAGGATACAAGATAAACATACAAAAATCAGCTGGATTCCTCTACACCAACAAAGAGAAATTTGAAGAGGAAATCACCAAATCAATACCATTTACAATAGCCCCCGGGAAGATAAAATACTTAGGAATAAATCTAAAGATAGACGTAAAAGATCTATACACAGAAAACTACAAAACACTACTGCAAGAAACCAGGAGACCTGCATAAGTGGAAAAACATACCTTGCTCATGCATAGGACGACTCGACCTTTTGAAAATGTGAATTCTACCGGAAGCAATCTACAGATACAATGCAATCCCGATCCAAATTCCAATGGCATTTTTTAATGAGATGGAGAAACAAATCACCAACTTCATATGGAAAGGGAAGAGGCCCCAGATAAGTAAAGCATTACTGAAGAAGAAGAACAAAGCAGGAGGCCTCACACTGCCTGATTTTAGAACCTATTATACTCCCACAGTAGTCAAAACAGGCTGGTACTTGTACAACAACAGATACACAGACCAGTGGAACACAACTGAGAATCCAGACATAAATTTATCTACCTATGAGCAGCTGATATTTGACAAAGGATCAAAGTCTGTTGATCAGGAAAAAGACAGTCTCTTTAACAAACGGTGCTGGCATAACTGGATATCCATCTGCAAAAAACTGAAACAAGGCTCATACCTCACACCATGCATAAAAACTAACTCGAAATGGATCAAAGACCTAAATATAAAATATAAAACGGTAAAGATCATGGAAGAAAAAATAGGGACAACGCTAGGAGCCCTACTACATGGCATAAACAGAATACAAACCATAAGTAACAATGCACAAACACCAGAAGAGAAACTAGATAACTGGGAGCTCCTAAAAATCAAACACTTACGCTCATCAAAAGACTTCACCAACAGTAAAAAGACAACCGACAGGCTGGGAAAAAATTTTGGCTACGACAAATCCATCAGGGTCTAATCTCTAAAATCTACAAGATACTTCAAAACTTCTACAATAAAAGACAAATAACCCAATTAAGAAAAGGGAAAAGATATGAACAGACACTTCACATGAGGAAATGCTCACAATCATTAGCCATTAGAGAAATGCAAATCAAAACTACAATGAGATACCATCTCACCCCAACAAGACTAGCATTAATCCCAAAATCACAAAATAATAAATGTTGGAGAGGTTGAGGACAGACTGGAACACTTATACACTGTTGGTGGGAATGTAAAATGGTACAACCATTTTGGAAATTAATTTGGCGCTTCCTTAAAAAGCTAGAAATAGAAGTACCATAAGATCCAGCAATCCCACTCCTTGGAATATATCCTAGTGAAATAAGAGCCATCACACAAATAGATATATGCACACCCATGTTCATTGCAGCATTGTTCATGATAGCAAAAGATGGACACAACTTATGGTATATTCACACAATGCAATACTATGCAATGATAAAGAACAACGATGAATCCGTGAAACTTCTTATAACATGGAGGAATCTGGAGGTCATTATGCTGAATGAATTTATTTAGTCGCAAAAGGACAAACATTTTATAAGACCCCTATTATAAGAACTCAAGAAAAGGTTTAAACACAGAAGAAAACATTCTTTGAAGTTTACCAGGGTGGGGAGGGAGGGAGAGGGGTATTCACTAGCTAGATAGTAGATAAGAATTATCTTAGGTGAAGGGAAGGATAACACACAATACAGGAAAGTCAGCACAACTGGACTAAACCAAAGCTAAGAAGTTTCCTGGATACAACCAAACACTTCGAGGGACACAGGAGCAGGGGCAGGGGTCTGGGGACCATGGTTTCAGGGGCTATCTAGGTCAACTGGCTTAACAAGGTTTATTAAGAAAACGTTCAGCATCCGACTTTTGTGAGTGCCGTCTGGGGTCTTCAAAGCTGGGGAGCAGCTGTCTAAGATGCATCAGCTGGTCCCAATCCAGCTGGAGTAAAGGAGAAGGAAGAACACCCAGGACACAAGGAAAGTATTAATTCAAGAGACAGAAATGGCCACATAAAACAGACACTTCATCAGCCTGAGACCAGAAGAAGTAGATGGTGTCCGGCTAATACCAATCACCACCCTGACAGGGAACACAACAGAGAGTCCCTAATGGAGCAGGAGAAAACTGGGGTGCAGAACTCAAATTCTAGTAAAAAGACCAGACTTAATGGTTTGACTGATACTGTAGAGACCCCAGAAGACATGGCCTCCGGACTCTTCGTTAGCCCAAAACTAAAACTATTCTCGAGGCCAACTCTTCAGACAAAGATTAGACTGGAGTATGGGACATAAAATGATACTCGTGAAGACTGTGCTTCTTAGATCAAGTAGATACATGAGACTAAATGGGCAGCTCCTGTCCAGAGGTGAGATGAGAAGGCAGAGAGGGTCAGGAGCTGGTTCAATGGACATGGGAAATCTAGGGTGGAAAGGAGTGTGCTGTCACAGTATGTGGAGAGCAACTAGGATCACATAACAATGTGTGTATAAATTTTTTTATGAGAAACTAACTTGAATTGTAAACTTTCACTTAAAGTACAATTAAAAAAAAATTAAAAAGTTTAACATACAAACATACTAACTACCATACGACCTAAGCAATCTGCTCTTTACATTTACCCAACAGAACTGAAATTATATATATACATGAAGACTTGTTTATGAAATTCATGGCAGATTTGTAATAGGCCTAAACTGGAAACAACCTAACCTTTTATCGGCAGGTGAATGGACAAACAATTGCCATATATCCATACCACAGAATGCTACTCAGCAATAAAAAAGAACACACTATGGATATCTGCAACAATATAGATGAATCTCAAAATAACTACTGTGAGTGAAAGAACAGAGAAAAAAAGTACATATTATATAATTCTATTTATATAAAGTTCTAGAAAATGTGAAAAATATCTATAATGGTAGAAAGCAGATCTGTGTTTGCCCGGGGGGCATGAATTACAAAGAACACAAAGATGCTTTTGGGGGTGATGGATATGTTCATTATCTTGATTGAGGTGACAGGCCTATGGGTGACATAGGTCACAACTTATCAAATTGTACACTTTAAATACGTGCACTTTATTGTATGTCAATTATACTTCAATAAATCTGTTTGAAATTGCAAATAAAATACCTCAATTTCAAGGTCCTGGTGCTTTGGATTGTGAATGAAGAAAGTGAAGTTTTCTTCCCACACAGGTTCATTGGTTTTGTACCGAATCTGAAAGAAATATCCAAATGTCAGTTCTGTGATATTTTCTGTGGAAAAGAGCTTCTTTATTTCACGTGTTTTGAAACTTGGGACTATCTTAATTAAATTCCAAGATATATTTGCTGAACATGTACTATTATACATTAATTATGGAAAGTATTCAAAAGATGGAAAGATAAAATCCAATACTTTAAGGATATATCAGGGAAATTGTTATGAAATCACAATTTGTATGTGCATCTCAATGATAAACAATAAAAACTTAATCTTGGTTTGGGCTTAGTTCCATTAGTTCCCTAGTGCCCAACATAGTTCTGTATACAAAGATGACTCTTAAATTTAGTGTCAACAATTAAAAATGAACAATAGTCTATAACAAAATAATTTTTGAAAAATGTTTTCTCTCATATTAGGAAAGTGGAATATATTACAGCAATAGCAATGTTTTCAATTCTTGAATATAATTGTATTTGTTGAATTTCAAGCACTGTTGGTTAAGTTTTTAAAAATAGTTACGGAGCTTTCAAAAGAAACATTGAAACTTATCCTTTGCAATCTACTCATGAAATCAAGCTAAATAAAGCATATTCAGATAATATTTTTAATGTTAATTGTTAAAAAGCGAGTAGTATATTTGTTAACAAATTAAGTAGCTGGTTAAAAAAAAAAAAGATATGAAAAGTAATGGCCTCAACCCCTACATTGTCACACTACTTTTGAACACATCTAACTGCAGCTTGATATTCCACACCTAAGTCTGGTAATGGTGAAAAATATGAATATCTGAAAACTAGTTAAAATATTAGTACCTTACCTTACTCTCTTGAGCTTTGTGTCCAACTGACATTTGGACAACAGGATTTGGGTTGCTGCTTATTTTCTTCCCTGACTATCCAAAAACAAGCAAACAACAAAAACAAACAGGCAAAATAAACAAACTCACATCTTAAGATGAGTCTTATTAAAAAATGAAATTATTGGTTTATATTAACAAACATTTCTACCTACTTTTCTTATTTAAGCTACAAGGAATATGTGGGAACAATTTAATTGGAAAACAATCGCTAAGCGTACACCAAATCCATAGCTGTATCTATCAATACATACACTAAAAACTTCTATTTGCACAAATTTTTTAAATGTTAAGGTCTTCTATTTTTAAAAAACAAGCTAGTTTGGAAAAAATAAATGTTATAAAAATCTTTAATGTTAATGACAGTTGTAAAACTTATTTTACTAGGATAACAAAACGAATAAAGTGCAATGAATGGAAACAGAAAATCTTAACAAAAGACAAATGTAAAGAAAGTGTTATTCAGAATATTCCTCTGGTTGACGTAATAAAATACCACAGTGTCGGAGACAAGCTGGTACATTTTTTTACCTAGTATTCTCTGTTCAAACATATAGCTATCAAATATCAAATCTTGCTTACCAGCTGCTATGTAATTTTGACTGGAAGAACAAACATCACTTTAGAACCATGTTAAATTAAGCAGAAGTAAATAAAATAAAAATTTGGAAATAAGGAAAAAAAAAACAATAAGAAGCATACTTTAGCACAGACAGCTAGTAGGAGAAAACACAGTAAAACATACATGTGACATGAGGTTTATTTATAACTTAGCCCCACAGGAAGATGCAGTTAAATATATGTATTAGTGGAAATTAATCAGAAGGTCACAAAATGTTTTTAAGTAATTTTAGAGCCAGTCCTCAACAATGCAACAAAAGCAGTTTTGAGCTGGTAAAATAGTACTAGCTCAAACCTATTTCGATAATCTATTTCCTGGTTCATCTTTTTGATGTGAATGAATTCTGCAAAATGAAATAAATATTGTTAAAAAAAAAATTAAGGCTATAGACTACTATGGCTGAGACTAATTGTACCTCAAAATTCATTTCCTCCTTCTTCATTTAATATTAGAACTTCTGACTTTTAGCTGGGCACAAGTCCTCTATAAATAAAGATTATATTTCCAAACCTGGTGTGGCAATGTAAGTAAGTTCTGGCCTTAAAAGGAAGGAACGTATCTTCTACTTCCTTTTCCCCCATTCTTTTCGCTGGAATGGACCAGCCACCTTTGACCATGAGATGGAAGCCATGTGTTGAGTACGGCAGAGCCACAGGACAGAAAGAGCCTGGATCCTCAATACCACAGAGCGTGGACTACTTATGCTCAAGTCTGTTAGAGAAAAATAAACGTCTGTCTTGTTTAAGCTAGTGCTACTTTTGAGTCTCTTATACACATTATACCCATTGCTGTTGAGTTGATTCCGACTCATAGCGACCCTACAGAGCAGAGTAGAATGGCCCCATAGGGTTTCCAAGGAGTGGCTGGTGGATTCGAACTGCAACATTTTGGTTAGCAGACAAGCTCTTAATCACTGCACCATCACAGCTCCTGGGTCTCTAACACAGAATCTGAATTTGTATCTTAACTAATATAAATACTTAATTCATCCCTGAAAGAGCGGCCGTCTATTCCTAGAGATTTACTTATCAATTTTTAAGACATGTATTTGTTTTTTCCCTTTTTAACATCTCTGAAAACAGAATGAAGCTTACAATAGATGACATTATACATCTGCTCTGGGCCACAGAGCAATAGTGATAGAGTTGTTATTGCCTTAACTAAGTTTTTTGCTTAGATTTTCCTTTTATGTATGCAGGTGAGTGACATGATAAAAATCTATGTTCATCTTAAGTCTAAAATATCTTTCAGTAAGTATAAAATAAATGCTATCAAAGCATAACTGGCACTTTTCCATAAGTTGTACATAAAATAATGGTAGATCTTAAAATGGATGACATTTTAGATTCAATGAAATAAGGTTAAATCACTGACAGAAAGTTTTCTAACATGACATAATGTTCAAAACTCATGAGTATAAATCAGAGGCACATGGTATAATGAAAATATGAGGTTTTAAATCAGACCATCTTGAATTTAAACTCAGCTCTTTATAACTTAATTATTGAGACCTACATATTTCATCTGTCTGAACCTCAGTTTTCATGTATATGAACTGGGCATATGACCAACTTTGCAGAACCCTGTTATTGGGCTTAAATGAGATAATGTAATAATATAAGAATTATAATACATTTATTATCCTAGCTACACTTAATCCAAAAAAAAAAAAAAAAAAAACCCAAATCCACTGTTGTCAAGTCGATTCTGACTCATAGCAACCCTATAAGACAGAGCAGAACTGCCCCAATGGGTTTCCAAGGAGCAGCTGGGGGATTTGAACTGCTGACCTTTTTTGTTAACAGCCGCAGCACTTAACCATTATGCCACCAGGGCTCCAGCTATGCTTAGCACTATTATATACATTATCTTATTTAATTTACTCAATAATTCAGTGAACATGATATTATTACTTCCATTCTATAAATAATAAGACAGACAGGATTAAAAATCTTGCTGTAGGTCACAAAGCTTAGTAGTTATACCGAGATTCAAAGCAGACATTTTGATTTCAGAGCCTTTGTCCTTAACCATTATGCTCTCTTGTTCAAGGACCTTCAGATATCAAGTAAATGGGTAAGGAAAGAATTTCTCAGTGTTTGGGAGGAAACAGTTATTTCAATTATTGTGCTAATCAGTGTTCAAAAAGAGTAACTGACTACTAAACTACTTTCTTCCTCAGTATAGTAAGGGTTGGTAAACATTACATTAAAAAAGCAGACTTTGTCAGTCTCCTTCACTCCTGAAATCTAACTCATCTTTCTAGAGTTGAAACTGGTTAAAAACATTCTTGTTTCTTTTGGATAGAATTTCTTAAAACAATTCTATT